CCACGCTGCTGCTGGAAAGAAAACATTAGCCTTAGTCCTGATCCTGTAGACATTTAGGCACATTCATAACTTTGCGTCTTGCAAGGAGGCCTGTTGACATGGATGCAACTGTGCAGTTATACAATGTCATACGTGGTAGTAGGGTGGGAGCCTTGGCAGGTGGACAGCAGGCCCAGTGGAACGGCGAGTCACTGCAGTGACACAATAATCCCCTACAATTTCTGTTCCGTACCACAGTTGTCCGGTTAAGATTGATGACTTAGTTTGGACAGCTTAAAGGACATGGAAAAAGAGTGCAACATGAAATGAAGAGCTATACCAGCAAGCATTTGGCAGCTAAGGGCTCAGAGTCTATTTTCATTGCAAATACCTATTTTTGAAAGGTGTGTAACACCCACATGGTGGGAACCTGTCATCACATCAGTTATAGAAACAAGTTCTTCATAAACTAGACTATTATGGTATTCACAAAAAAGAAATCCCACAGCAAAAATGGCTCAGGAAGAAAAAAGTAATTATATGGAAACAGAGTCAAATCTAAGGAGTTCCTTTAATCATCATGTCATAAGTGATATCACTATCCAAGAGGGTGGAGAACCAGAACAATGACAAAGACACTGTGTGGAAATCACTGAACCAGCATGGAGCAGCATGATGGATGGAGCAGTGGAAACTGTCAGCTATATAAATAGAGTAACCTGAAGAGGAATACAAAGCCTGAAGCATACGGGTTATATATAGTGCTGGGTTTTGAAAGCAGGACAGGGTGTGCTTTTTGGAATGAACACCCATTATCTATACAAAGGTAAAATCACCTTCCCATTTCCCACTCTCTTTCTCCCTGTTTATGCATCTTGGTGGAAATCGTACTGAGGTCTTTATCCAGCACAACCCCTCAGTTCTTCTCAGTCACTGCTTTCCAGGACAGCACAGTCCATTCTGTAGGTAGCCTGTGTTCCTTGCTCCTGCACTTCTACCTTGGCATTTGGCTGTCAGAAAGGGCATTTTGTTTGAATGGGCCTTTCTTACCAAATAATCCATATTATTTTGTCCAGCTGCCCTGTTCTCAACCCTGCTGACTGCTGTGCCAATCTTTGGGCTCATTTCTGCTGTGAAGTTGACAAATTGGTCACTTTTTTCCCACCACAAAATGAATGAGCCTTTTTCATTTTGCTTGCGGGGGGACGGGACTAATGCTCATCTTGTAGATCATTGAGGGGACCCAAGCAGCAGGCTCATCACAGAACCAATGAACCCAAATTGGTATTACATTCCTTGAATAAGGCATGAGATACTTTTACCCCCTCTGTCCTGTTCTCTCAGTGGTGCAGGAAGGAGTTATCCTGACTGGAAGCAAAAAACACCACATTTAGCACACACCCTTGGAGAGGTTGTCAGTACCAGGGACTGAACCTGCAACCCTTTTGTCCGAGACCATAAGAGTCTATTACTGGAACTAGAAAGTCCAACACTATAACTGACATAGTCACCACTACATGCTACCGACAGTGGGTAGAACTTATACAGAGTTATCGCATTAGACACCCAATTCCCATAACTATTCTTTAGCAGCAGAGGAGCCAGAGAAAAATCTGTCCCTGCTCAGCTGCCTGACTAGAAGACTCCTCACTCTAGGAGGAAGCACCTCACTGCAACACCCACCAGAGCCAGGTGCAGTTTACAGGGACTAGTAGCTATTGTGCCTTTTCTTCCTACACTACTGCAGCAGGGAGCTAGCTCCCAGTGAAACGTGAGGGTGGGACTCAGCTCCTCTGAAGAGGGGATGGAGGCAGAGGTGCTTTCTCAGAAGGAGAGCATTGGAGTCAGGGTAGCAGTGCCCTCAGATTGTAGCAAAACCCCCAGTTTTTCTTTAAAAAAAAAAAAGAAATGCATTCCCTCCCCTTCCCCAACCATTTCGGACTTGTTCTCTTCCTCTCTATTCCCTATAGATAAGTATAGGTGAGCTAAGACATAGGATAAGCTTCAGCATTTTATTTTGGTAGCAAGTTGTATTTGTTTTGTTTTTTCTCCTTCTTTATATTGTATAATTATTATGTTTATATTGATTTTTATTGTTCTATATTACTGTTTTACTGATACCATATGATTTAAGCCTACATATGTAAGTTAGCATAAGTCATGTCAAGTTTCCATCTTGTGTCCCCTGGTGCTGTAACCTATGACTCATACCTACTCCTCCTATGTAAATTGGTTCCTGGATGAATGGGGATGAATGAGGGTGCTTGAGAGATAGTGGCAGTAGGTCTAAAAATAGCTCCCTCTGAATGACCAAACCATCAACACCAATACCTGGACCAATGACCCAGCCATTGGAACCAACCTCAGCATTCAAGAAACAAAAGATGAGGCAACCCACCATTGCGCCATGGGCCCCCCCCCCAATCTACGCAGGGCCCCTGCCAGTGACCACCCCCCCATTCTGGACAACACCTGCTGGACAAGGCCCCCTTTCCAGCCTGGATAGGTAGCTATCACCCACCCCCACCCCCTCTTCAACCAAGGACTTGGACTTTGTTTCTCTTCCCTACCTGGACTCCAGCCCTTCCACTGAGTCTCTTTTTCCTGCTGCCATTGTGAGTGCTTGTGTGTGTGTGTGTGTGTATGTGGGAAACAATAACTTCATGGGGCTGTGTAGCGTGTTGTCTGTTTAATAAAACTGCTATCTGGACCCCTGAGTTGGGTTTTGCTTTACTACGGTTCTGGCCCTGCTCCAATCTCTGCTCCTTGCCCCTCTAACTTCTGTCTCATTTCTCCCTCTCCTGCTTCTGGCTCACCCCCACCACTGACACCTCCAACACCTGTCCTGAGCTCCTCTCTGCCTCCAAACCCCCCTTTCTTTGCCACTGTCTTATCCCCACTGCCTTTTCCCCTGATCTCTGTCACTGTTATTGCCTTTTCCCTGGATCTCTGCCACTGCTATTGCTTTGTCTCCACTGCCTTGTCTCCTGATCTCTCCCACTGTTACTGCCTTGTCCCCACTGCCTTTTCCCATGAGCTCCCAGGTTTCTGCGTCAGTGTCTTTCCTGGCTGTCTCCTCCTTGACCCCGGGCTTTTTCCCTTGCACCAGCAACCTTGAGTAACCCCAAGCCTCAGTTCTTCAGCCCAGCAGGTTCTAATCCCAGTTCTGGCAACTTTCATTCCTTACACTTTCTCTCTCACCTTAACCTTCCCACAAGGTATCCCAAGTACCCCAAACGCACGCATACATACCATACCATCCAAGTTAGGAACTCACCTGTGTGCATATATAGATAGATGATATGTGTGTGAATCAGTGAATATATATATATGTCATTGTGTGTGTAATATACAAATTAGTGATCCGTGTAGGTAGTGACCACTGATTATTGTCTAATTTTTGGTTTGTGTATGTGCTTGAATTGGTGATAGGTATGCATGTGCCTAGGCTGGTTTGGATGTGTATGTGCCTGAGTTGGTAGTGTGTGTGTATGCACTTAACTGATTTGTATGTTTGTATATGTGCAATTGTGTCACACCCTCCTGTCTAACAGCGCAATACTGAGATCCTGAGAGTTGGCCTGACCCCACAGGGCTACAAGATTACTTTGATCTTTGATCCCATCTACCCATGTTAGTTGCAATTGTTTATTTAAAGTTAGAGGCGAGTTTCTGAAAAGCCACCAGGCCAAGGACATTGGTTCCAGGAACATCTTGAATCTCTAAAGTCCCTAACCCAAATAGTCTTTTCATCACATGTGATTCTAGGGCTGTTTCTGCTGCAAGGCAGTGTCTTCCCCCTCTAGCTAGATTGGGACAGCAATAATGTTTGTTCATTAACTTGTTTTCTTGCTTCCAATTTTAGTGTGTGTGAGCACACATCAGTTGGCAGGTACTTGTGTGTGTGTGTGTACATGTATGTGTATGTGTGCACATGTGCACGTTCCTGTGTACACATACATGCACCCAAGCCTGCATGCATACGGCATGTGTATATATCCACATGCAAGCATACACTTATCATCTCTCACTTAGAGTGTGGCAATGCCTTTCTAGTTTCTCTGCCCTTGATTCTTAAACTGATTCAGAGAGATCTAAGAACTGCAACTACTCTCCCTCACGTGGTAATCAAATTGGTGCGCACTTACGATCATAGAAAAATATGACTTAAAAGGGACCTCACAAGGTTAACTAGGGTGACGTTACATGCTACATTTTGACCAGGCTAAATCTGTGGAGTGTTAAGTGGTGTTAAAGTTAGAATGTGCTATGAACAGTCACGCATTCAAAGTTAATACTGTTTCTTGCATGTCTGACTCTGACTTACCATTAGATGGCTAGCAAACAGGGGTGTCTTGGAGGGTGGGTAGTAGTGTATCCTGAAATGTTGGAGGACTGCAAATTGCTCATTTTATCTCCATGGAGCAGACTGAAATTACCCTAACATGAGCTAGGTAGCATAGCCCAGAGTTAACCCTTGCCTGAAGTGGTATAACTGAGATGTCCAGAGGGCACTTACCACAGGTTAGTGATCTTTAATGTGCAGACCCACACATTTTAGGTGCCCTTAGTATGGTGTAAGTGTAACATGTAACTTCACCCCTAGTCCAGCCCCCTGCTCAAGGCAGGATCATCCTTGACTAAACTATCCCAGCCAAGCTGTCTGTCTAACCTGCACTTGGTAAGTAGCAAATTGGTAAACCAGGATTTATACTCCCGGCCCACTCACTCATCACTACTACAGCACTGGTAGGAGAGCATCTCTGGACAGGATCAACAGCTCTTGAATGTAACCAAGGAAATACTGTGTGTCCTCTGTACCAGGTCTTTGTAAAGAGCTGTCTCAAATCCCTGGAAATACTTTGTCACAAGGACAAGAAAAAGGAAAGAGAATAAAAAAAAACAAGTAGCAAGAATAGTTTCCTGCGCTAAATGGTGAGACAGAACTACCATCTTACAGTTACAAGCAGAAGCCAACGCAGGAAGTAGGGTATTGAGGCCCATGGCCAGTAAATACTGACCATGGACTGGGACAGCAGGTGATTCCATATTTCTAGAAGTGGATCCAGCTGTTCCTTAGGGGCTCTCATTCTCCAGCAGGTCAGGCCATTTACAGGGTCTCCCACAGCCTAGTAAACACAGGCAATGCCTCACATATTGCAGAGGAAATAATTTTCCCTGGCATATTGAAAGAAATCTTACCATTTGCGCCTCTACCTCAGACTGTACTTACCTTCCCTTGGATTCTTCTCAGTGCAAACCTGCCTTCAGAGTACAGGGATGTGCCAACACAGACATCATGAAAAATATAGAGCAAGAGCAGAAGCCTGTGGATTGGGATCAGCTCAGTAATTCTGGCCTCGTCTAGTCCGTGGGCCAGGCACAGGAGAGCTAGGTTGAAGGGCACCCTAGGTGCAGCTTGGTGAAAGGCTTGCAAAGGCTGGAAGGCTTTTGTTTCTGTTTTGGTTCTCTGAGCTGTAAGCTCATATCTTCTCAGTGACCACACGCTTTCCTTTTAGAACCGGAAGGACCCACAGACCCCCACCACGCATGCATGACCAATGGGGAAATGATAAATGAGTCAAGGAGGAAAGTGTGACATTACAGTATGCAGGAGCAGCTCTTGATATGCACAAATAGCATGACATACCCATCTCCATGTCTTGCACCAGTGAGAAATCCCCCCTTCCCCTTGTCACACACAAGCCACTTTGATTAGTAAATCCTCTTTCTCAAAATGAGATTTGAGAAGTGTTTTAATTTTGTAACTATTGTTTTTTACTGGTTGATTCCCCTTCATAATCCCAAACAAGATCAAATGTCCTTCTTACCTCATGTCCCTCCACTGCCAGCTGTATACCCCTCTCTCCGTGGGGACAGCCTTTAGGCGGGGAGCCTAAAATACCAGCTGTTTTTTTAGGTAAATTTCTTCCTCCTTCAGTTTTCAATAGAAATGTTGGATTTTATGTTTTAAAAAGACTGGTTTTAGAAATCAGAGAGCCACCTATCCCATCTATACATGTATCTTCAAATTTCATTTGCTGCTCTCCCCTCTTCTCCACCTTTCTCTCCACCCTGCCCCCAAATTCAGCAGCAGGGAAAGGAGGAGATAGGAACAGTGGTGGCAGTGCAGAGCTGTGTGAAAGCACGGGGCGGCAGGTCCCTAGCTGCTTCTCCCCTCCTTTCCCCTACTGCTGAATTCAGAAGTGGGAGGAGGAAGGGGATGAGAGAAAAGCAGCAGTTTCCAGAGCTGCTTGAAAGCCTGGGCTCCAGGCAGAGCCTACGTTGGCAATCGCTGAGCTCACAGAACTTGCAACACAGGTTGAGCTCCCAGCAGGAGCTGTGCTGAAGTGCCAGGGAGCAAGGAGAGCTCTCTGTGCAAGCAGGGCACAGCCAGAGAGGGGCACAACACCGCGCACCATCCCTGGATCCACACCTGTCCAGGCCATGGCTGAGAAAAAGATTGTTTTGTGGATGCCTTGCCTTCCGTTCAGACTTTCACATCCTCACTGTGACAAGTACTGTGGAGTTATTGACCTGGGAAAGTAATATCAGAAGTGTAGGTATAAGAACTAGTTAGCTTCTTTTTTATGCACTTTGCCAACTGGACAGAAAGAGACTGAAGGTACCCCGTGATCCACCAGTTATTGCCAGACCACAGTTTGAGAACCTCAGGTCTGGTCAAGCCCCTGACCAGGACATTCACTAACATTTCCCCACCCGCTCCCTGAGTGCCACTCTGATCCCTGGCCCCCTGGGGACGTATTTGATAGAGTTTGTGCCCTGGCACACTGGAATGGAGGCAAAGGAGCTCTGTGGGGGCAGGACATTGCTGCAAGAGGAGGTATTACTGTCAACAGCCAGATTAACCCTGGCTATGCAGTTTTAAATTACAAATGAGGATCAAACGCCTTAATTCAGTGTCTGCAAGGCCAGGGAAGGGTCTTGTGACACCTGATATCTCCTCTCATAGCAGTTTCCTGCCCCAACTCTATTCCACATGGGCCAGAGGTTTGAGACTCCCTGCCTCCATTCTGGTGCCTCCCTCAACTGAATGCCTGGGAATTGCATGTCACATGGAGCAGCTTGCCATGTCACTTGTGGCATGTGTGCCATGGGTTAACCCCCGCCCCCACTAGAGCACACTTGTTGGTTTAGAATCCTTCCTTCTCTGTGGGGTTTGCACAACATTCAGCATAGCAGGGTCCTGGTCTACAGCTGGGGCTCCAGGATACTACTTAAATAAAAACAAGAGGTAAAGAAGGTCTGCAATAGCCCCAGTACCACCACATTGTATCAGAAACCCATCGACTGCCACAGCCACTTCCATGCCAATATCTTCCATCCTAAGCATACCACCAGAACCTCGTCTATAGCCAAGCTCTACATTACAACCAAATTTGCTCTGATCCCATCTCACCTTAAGGACCTGGAGGAGAGATTCCTACATCTACAACAGAATACAAAACTGCAGCCACTCAAATCAACAAACCCAGATTTAGATCCTGCTCTGACCTGCTACAATACCAACTCTGGGAAAAAGACATTCCCTCTGGTTGTCACCTACAGCTCCCACCTTAAACCTCTAAGACACATCATTAATGACCTCCACCCCCTCCTGGAAAAAGATAACCATCTCAAGGTAGCCATGGCAGAAGAAGCTCTTCTGACTTACAGGCAGCCCCGCAACCTAAAATGGTGTCTCTCAAATAACAGGCTACTTAACTCCTATTCTCACTGCGGCACCAGGCCTTGTAGCAGACACAGATGCAAGCTGTACTCAACATCAATACCACATCATCACTGGACCAAATAACACGGATTATAACATCCAAGTTTCATTCTACCTCTACCAATGTCATTACCTGTTTACAGTGTCCTTCTACTGTCTACGTTGGACAGCCAGAACAATTCCTACATGTAAGAATAAATAAATGCCAATCTGACTCAGTTCTAGAAAGACACACAAGCCTGTGGCAGAACAGGTTAACCTCCCTGGATGCTCCAGTGGGTGCATCCAGACAAGCACGCATGTGCCTGTTGCAGCACCTCAAACCAGCAAGAGGCAAGCTGAGAATGAAAAAAATGTTCCTCATCACCACCTGACCCTCATGGAGAATGGGCCCAGCCTGACCTGGCCCGGCCTGCCCAGCTAGTGCACGCCTTTGGACAGGAGCCATGGGTCCCGGAGCAACATATCCCGGTCCTATCCAAAGGCACACTAGCGGGCTGTTGTGCCATGCTGGGTCGGGTCGGGTCAGGCTGGGCCCATTCTCCCCGCACGGACCATGGGTCAGGCAGTGCGGCAGCAGACACATCCTGGCTGGCTGCTGCTTCTAGTGCTGAGGGCTGTGCACCGCAGGGGGGCGGGGGGCGGGCAAGTGGTGGCCCCTCTCAAACCCCACACCCCCCAAACCCACCCACACATCCCATACCACCCTACATTCTCCTCACCCCCCTCCTGCAAACCCCACATCCCACCACTCACCCATATACCCCGCACCCCCTGTTTCCCCCCAAACCTGCCCACACACCCCACACCCCTCCCCACCCCTTCCTACAAACCTCACATCCTTCCTATCACACACCCAGCATGCCCAGCTGCCAGACAGGATGAGACCTGCTTTTTAGTGAAGGGGTCAGGGGGAGCTCTAATTTTTCTATGATAAAACCAAAAGTAAACATCAAAGCATATAGATATTTAGAATTTATTTTATTATGATGATAGAGACACTGGTAGGCTTCCAAATTGCTTTCAAATTATAAATACATCAATAAGACATTGCCCAACTGATATCTCTCTCTCTCTCCCTCTCTCTCTTGCTATATATATATATGTGTGTGTGTCTATATCTATCTATCTATCTATCTATATAGCGGTATTTTATTTTAGTTGTGGAAGAACATGGATTTTGGGGTATTTTAAAGAGTGAATTTGGGATTTTTTTATCAGAGAATTTGCGGTTTTTAAATAGGGAACACCAGGATTCCTGCTAGTGAGGCATGTGGCAGGACCTAAGCAGATGAGCCTGCTCAGGACTGGCAGCCAGGACCCAGCTGGAGAGCAAATGAGGTGGCTAACCTCAGGGTCATTTGGGGCTAGGAGGACATGTTTTGTCAGTTCAAAGCAGGTCACCACACTGAGAACATCTTCCAGGAAATAGCTGCCCAGATGGCAGGGTGAGGGCACACATGGCAGCAATGCCACACAAAGACCAACTATGCAGCCAGGGCCCACTGTCTGCTGGCCCAGAGGTGCAGACACCTTTGCTACAGCATCCATGCCACAGCCCAGGTGGCAGTGTGGTCCCTGTCCAGGTCTGGCAGGTCTGCAGCCTTGGGGCCACATGCTGTCGCAGGTGGCAGCAGGTCATAGCCAGGCAGCAGCCACCACTGTCACACTGCTGCAGTGGGTAAGAGTGCGCAAGGAAATCTAGGTTAGGGCTGCTTCACCAGTCCAGCTGGCACAAGGGGCTAGTGTCCCCAGATACCAATTGGCTGGGGCCCAGAAGCTCCTGAGAGCAAGTAGCCCTGAGATGCTTACCAGGGGAGCTTTTTATACTGGTAGTGCCGCCACAGGTGCTGGCCCTAGACTTCAACTCGCTCCCCCCTGGCTGCAGATCCGGGAGGAGCTGGGCAGGGTCAGTTTGCCCCAAGTGGCACAACTTGCCCCACACCAATTGCATGTTCAGGCAAATGTGTTGAGGCAAAAATCCCTGGTACAAATTTGAGCTGCTTCAAGTGCATGTGCCTGCATGCATGGATGTGCCCAGTGTGACTGTTCTTAGCCAACAAAACTTTAAGAGGGAACTTGAATGCAAAATTATGGAAAAAGAAATCAGCCACAGATTGGACTGTGCTAAATATGGTCTAAATGGATTCTTATCCTATTACCTGATTAGCTTTTGTGACCCCCTTGTTCCTATGGGCTTATTGCTTGTGTGCCTCTCACAGCACTGCCCCTCTCTCCTCCCTTCCTTCCCTGTTTTTTGTATTCAAATCACTTTCTTCATTTGATACACTGCTCTGTGCATGTCCTTCCACAGTATCTCATGAAGTGAGCTCAGGCTCACAAACACTCAAGCTATACATCTCTGATTTACTTAGTCTATAAGGTTCCCTGCCTTATACCCTGCCTTCTGCCTGACTTCAATCTAATACTGCCAGCTACCTCTCACTGTAATACAAACCACAATAATCACTAATCCTCACAGAATTCCTGACAGTGCTCCTTCCAGATAATTTCTAACAGGCTTTGTTACCAGAGTGCTCCATAGAAAAGAAGTGCATCTATGAAATTAGGTAACAGATAAGATGCTAAGAGATGGTTCTCATGGATATTATTGCATTGTTTGCAGGTTTTGTCTTCACACCCTGACTTATCAGTTCAATTGCCAATCATAGCACAAGATGCCTATAACAAGTCCCCGGGGATGCCCCCCCCCCCCCCCCCGCCCGCGCCCCCCCCCCCCGATGTGACAGGTTAGTTCCCTTGGAGCCATTCACATCACCTAAT